TTTATTTTGTACATTTTTTTTTTTTGATCATTCGACATGGATAGTAAATAATTAAGATTGGTACAATAAATTTTGATTCATTAGATAACACAATTAAGTTTAATGTATTACCTTGACACGGATTGATAATGGAGTTTGGACCAAGTGTTCAGGTACAAGTTGTTTTAATGCAACTAAAAATCCACATATAACACCAACCATCCCATTCGCCTGTACTTCAAACCTATAATGTAAATCAAGGATGAATTTATATTCCTATAACACATAAAATGAAATAATGCGCATTTAAAACTGCTTAGCATATGATGTAATACTTACAAATAATATTCATCTCCTGTAATAGCATATTCCAATAAATATGTTAAAAAAGTTGCTAAAGTAACGCCAATAAGAATTATTCCAACAAATTTCAAAAAATCCTTTGACCCCCAGGCTCTTTCTAAATATTTCCCACATGCTGCCATTGTTATAACACTTCCTATTAACTAAAATTAACGTAGAATTTTGAGTTTGATCTATTTATATTTGTATACGAATGAAACATTTTATGACTCACCGATATAGGATCAGTTTCTAAGAATCCTGCAGTAAAAAATGTCCAAACCTTTTGTATTGCATGACCTGGAACAAGTGCAAAATCTGGCAAAACATCTGCAAAAGAAGTTTCGATCAAGCTATGAAATTTTTTTAAAGCTCCAAGCGCCGAGGTAAAAACTATAAGAAAAATTAAAGTTTTCACAGTCGGCGGTACATTGGTAAAATGCGTCTTATTTAGGAGAAAGGTATATATTAGATATAATTTCGTTACAGCAACAAGTTAGAAACAATGGTTACCTACCCTCCAAGTTGGCATATTTAAAGCAAGAACTTGTAAGATTCGTGTTTGCGGTTCAACATCAAAGAATATTATTTTAGTATCTACATAATGTTTATATTGGAGTTTAAATCCACGTTTTCGTAGCATGGCGGTCAATCGTCATTACACAAGCTTCCGGATTTGAAAATCGTGACTCAGTGCCAATTCGGCCAATTAAAATCCAAGATTTTTATAATATCGACGTATATGTACTTTTATTAGTTCTCCGCTTTTAATACGTACCCAATTTAAATTCTTTCGCTGATTCAAATGTGCGATCCGAAATACTTTTAAAATTACTAGTTTCTTTTTACTATGTGCATAAGCGTCCTTGTATTTGTTAAATATATTAAAAGAAGTAAGCTAACATATTTAATTATCTAATACATAGCGATAGAATACTGCTTTATTCTAATTTAGATTTACATGCTTAAGAAGTTTAATAATTAAAGAATAGCGATCTCAAGATATATGGGTTAATTCAAAACGTTGCAATAAATGCGTGTATGTTGTATTTGATAAGTTGGAAAGTATGCTAATTCCAACCGATATAACACTTCTGAAGCTTGGTGTCAAACATGTGACTCTCAGAAAATAATGCAAATATGGACAAGCGAAAACAAGGATGTCAATAATTGCGTTAAAGAATTTCAACTTAAAACTACAAAACATGAGAATGCAATCGTTAGATAACTTACGAATAAGCACGTCATGGAGAAATGAACGATTACTTATTGATAAGGTTAGAATTGGAGTTATTCAAAAATTTTTTATTTAGTGGCGATGATGAACGATTGATCGATTACAAATTTCTTTTTACATACATACAATTATCGAGTAATTATGTAATTTTTGAAATTATTTATTTAGAAAGAAAATAAATATTTAATTAATTAGCTTATTGCTAATACCATGTATAATTGTATTTAAAATACACTTTCTAAAATTTTTTTTTTTTATTAAAATTTTCAATTAATAAAATTATATTAAAAAAATATTAATATTAGTGCTTGAGTATTAATAATTTCTTGATTAATTATTTCTAATTTATAGTATATATATATTTTTTTACTATGGCAAGGTTGCACTAGTGATCATGTTTAATAAATCCTGGTCTTGTGAAAGACCTATACAACTATCCCTTTCAATTATAGTCTATGATATTAAATCTAATATCCTGACATCCTGCGATTACTTCATGTCTAATCTAAGTTACCAGAGCACCTATTGGTGACCCACTATACTGGCAAAGTACGATTAATTAAGATAATATCTAACTGAAGAGCTTATCTAACTACTGCTCTACAATAGGATATCATTAATTTGATGATATCTTCTTGTAGAAAAATAAAAAAAAAAGAAAAAATTATATAAAAGAAACACCAAGATATAGGGGATATAATAAAAAAAATACAAACAAGAAATAAAGAGTGTAAAAAAAGAATGAGAAAAACTAAACTAAATATAAGATTTTTTACCTATACTAGATAGTCACAATTATAGGCCTGTATTAGACTCTATAAAAATTATATACTACTATCTAAACTAGTCTCTACTCTAATTTATATAATTAGTATATCCAAGTAAAAAAAATCTCTATAGGGTAAAAAAAAATTATTTTTTCAATATTAGCACTATAAAGAAGTTAGAAAAATCAGAATTTACTCTATTGGTTTCAGAGCACTGTTGGTCCAAGTTGTCATATTTAAAACATGTAATTTATATATTCATATTTTATATATATCCATATATTTGTTATAACAGATAAAAAGTAAATAAATGCTAACTATTTTAATAAACAATATATTGATTTTTTAGAGAGAATAAAACTAAATCACTCACTTTTACTAAAATTTCTTTGAAAAAAAGCAGAAAGTCAATAAGAGTATATAAAGTTTTTCTGTAAGTTTTACAGTTGTATAAATAGTACTTTAAGCTTTTATTATTTTAATAAGGGTTATATTACTACTTGTTTTCAAAACAAACCTTCTGGTTTAGATATCTAATAACTTGAAAATTTCACTAAAAGAAAAGAAGTTTGACTTTAAGAAAAATTGTCTAAGTTATATTTGCTCTTTAGTATTTTATATCTTTAAGGCTTTGTTAACACCAAACTACTCAAGATAAAACTAAAAATAGTATTAGTCTTAAACATTTTTATAGCATTTTTTTGTAGTTTAGTTTTTGTTATTATTAACCAGTGAATTATTAAATTTATAGTATATTACTAAATTTAAAATATATATATTATGTCTATAATAGTAAAAAGTTTAGTTATTTAATTTTGTTTATTAAAATTATTTGCAAACTATTATAGCAAATTTATTATTAGTTATAAGTGCTAATACTTTATTTAAAAGTTTAAATTCTGCTATTATATTATTTATAGTTTTATAATATTAATTCTAGTATCTCTTAAACTGTCTAGCAAGCAAATTTGCCTGCTTATTTTATTTTTCAAAAGTTTTTTTAAGATTTCTTAAAATTTATTTAAGCTTGACCCCCTAT